AGCTCTAGGATCTTAATATAGCACATTCCACCTCGAGCTCTAGGATCTTAATAGAGCACATGTCACCTCGAGCTCTAGGATCCCAATAGAGCACATTCCACCTCGAGCTCTAGGATCTTAATAGAGCACATGTCACCTCGAGCTCTAGGATCCCAATAGAGCACATGTCACCTCGAGCTCTAGGATCCCAATAGAGCACATGTCACCTCGAGCTCTAGGATCTTAATAGAGCACATGTCACCTCGAGCTCTAGGATCTTAATAGAGCACATGTCACCTCGAGCTCTAGGATCTTAATAGAGCACATGTCACCTCGAGCTCTAGGATCCCAATAGAGCACATTCCACCTCGAGCTCTAGGATCTTAATAGAGCACATTCCACCTCGAGCTCTAGGATCTTAATAGAGCACATGTCACCTCGAGCTCTAGGATCTTAATAGAGCACATGTCACCTCGAGCTCTAGGATCCCAATAGAGCACATGTCACCTCGAGCTCTAGGATCCCAATAGAGCACATTCCACCTCGAGCTCTCGGATCTTAATAGAGCACATGTCACCTCGAGCTCTAGGATCTTAATAGAGCACATGTCACCTCGAGCTCTAGGATCCCAATAGAGCACATTCCACCTCGAGCTCTAGGATCTTAATAGAGCACATTCCACCTCGAGCTCTAGGATCTTAACAGAGCACATTCCACCTCGAGCTCTAGGATCTTAATAGAGCACATTCCACCTCGAGCTCTAGGATCTTAATAGAGCACATTCCACCTCGAGCTCTAGGATCTTAATAGAGCACATTCCACCTCAAGCTCTAAGATCAAAATAGTGCACATTCCACCTCGAGCTCTAGGATCTTAATAGAGCACATTCCACCTCAAGCTCTAAGATCAAAATAGTGCACATTCCATCTCGCTCTAAGATAATAAATGAACTAGTTTCACCCCGAGCTCTAAGATAAAAGAACACATTCTAATCCGAGCACTTATATTGTCTTGGGGGTTGGGGGGTGGGTGGGGGGTTATATTCCACTTCGATCATAAAAGGGCACATTAGATCGTCATCTCTTTGATCACAAAGGGCACCTTTCACCTCGAGCTCCGACATCTTGAAAGAGCACATTTGGATCACAAAGATCAGGAAACTAGCAGCTGTTGTTCACGCCAACACCATGTTTGGGCATGCAGCCTTTGCCTGACCCTGGGCAATAATGCGGAACAATCTAGCAGTTCATTTCTGATGTGACCCGTGATCTTCAGTAACCCATGCTTGCCATAACGGGCGACTAACGGGATAGGGTGGTCAGGCTCGCTGACTTGGTTGACACATGTCATCCGTATCCCAACTGTGTAGATCGATGCTCATGATGTCGATCACTGGATTGTCTGGTCCAGATTCGGTTATTTACAAACCGCCGCCATACAGCTGGAATATTGCTGAGTGCGGTGTTAAACAACAAACCAACATCCCTTTCCCAATAATCATTTGACTTTTTTGTGGTGCTGTCAAATAATGTCCAGAACAGACCCCAAGGACCCTGCAGATTCCCAATCACTGTTGCACCATACAACGTCATACATGCATGTATTATTGACATGTAACGCGGTACTCGCGGTAATGTAGCGTGGCTGCATGATTTTAAAAAACAGAAACAATTTCTCATGCAGTCAAGTACATGGTACAGTCAATTTGTTATTATCGATGAAAACATTAAAAACACAAAGAGCTGTTTTGTGCACGAACATGAAACACCACTCAACGTAATTGTAAACTCTCTTGAAGTTGCCCTAATTTATTCATACACAATATCAATTATATATAGTATTGCCTTATTGTCCCGAATACAATAAGTCAGTTTTTTATTGTGTGTACCTATGTAACCGAAAAGCATTCGGTTAACGCTGTTCTCATCCTTGTCTCAAACACTGTACACTGTATTGCATTATTCCACAATAACATTACATTGGTGGAAAAGTCAAAGGGTACATAGACTTGTACAGAATTATGGTCGCTTGATGTTTTAATCCATTTCATTAAGCAGTGGAACTTGTCATTTCATTCTTTGGACAATCGAGTACAATGTCTAAGAGTTTTACACATGGTAAAATCTCAAACTGCAAATTACTTAATGACCTTACTTCTGGTCAAAGTCAACTTCAGCCATACCACCACCACCATCTGAGACTGACCACCATACACATGGCGTCAAGGGGACGGCCTGAAAGGTTTGTTTGTTTGTTTGTTTATTTGTTTGTTTGCTTGTTTGTCTAACGCCACCGTCGGCAATATGACAGTACATGACCGCGGTCTGTAATTAATCGAGTCTGATCCATTGATCAACCGCATGAACATCGATGCTCGGAATTGGGATACGACGACATGTGTCAACCAAGTCAACGAGTCTGACCATCTGAAAGGAGAGTTTTCAAATATGAATGATTATCAGCATTCGACAGCATGTAGTTGTTGTCAGGTTTTGTTTGTCACACGTGTAACACCCATCACTAACAAAAAGGCTTCCAAAATTTCGAGCGTTGGATACAACTTTTGGTATCTCACAAGTGTTCAACCGACTTGACACTTTGATGTGTGCGTACTTGCGTGCGTCTCGCTGACAAGGTTCAGGCATGTTAGTGTGTCCCGATTTCTTTGACCAATGCTGATCATGTCAGTCACAGGAGCGTCTGGTCCAAAATCGGTCGGGTATTTACAGACCGTTTTCACATGGCTGGAATTGGGTTAACAACAATCAGATAAAGATATAAAAATATTATTAATGAAGAGGACTTAAGAGTACTGATGTAAATAAGTTTATAACGCAAATACGAGATACACGTGTAAATAACTGAAGACTTGTTTAACCACGTTTCTACATATGAAACAAACACATCCACTTCTTTTAGAAGATTATTAATTTTGGCTTGGATTCGTAATATTTTTTCAGAGTGGATGATCCGGTTTCTCACTGAGCTGACCTGGAACTAAACAACCAGCATTAGTTGGGACTGTTCCAAGACACAACAATACCCGTGCAATAATTTTGAACGTGGTGATAAAACTCATATTACCTTATCTAGCAGCCAAATGGGAATCTGGGTCAGTGAGTGAGTGAGTTTAGGTTTACGCCGCACTCAGCAATATTCCAGGTGTATGGTCTGTAAGGTCAGTAAGAATCTGGGTCAGAATAGTTCTACAGATCACTATTCCCTGTCAGAATAGTTCTACAGATCACTATTCCCTGTCAGAATAGTTCTACAGATCACTATTCCCTGTCAGAATAGTTCTACAGATCACTATTCCCTGTCAGAATAGTTCTACAGATCACTATTCCCTGTCAGAATAGTTCTACAGATCACTATTCCCTGTCAGAATAGTTCTACAGATCACTATTCCCTGTCAGAATAGTTCTACAGATCACTATTCCCTGTCAGAATAGTTCTACAGATCACTATTCCCTGTCAGAATAGTTCTACAGATCACTATTCCCTGTCAGAATAGTTCTACAGATCACTATTCCCTGTCAGAATAGTTCTACAGATCACTATTCCCTGTCAGAATAGTTCTACAGATCACTATTCCCTGTCAGAATCGTTCTACAGATCACCATTCCCTGTCAGAATAGTTCTACAGATCACCATTCCCTGTCAGAATAGTTCTACAGATCACCATTCCCTGTCAGAATAGTTCTACAGATCACCATTCCCTGTCAGAATAGTTCTACAGATCACCATTCCCTGTCAGAATAGTTCTACAGATCACCATTCCCTGTCAGAATAGTTCTACAGATCACTATTCCCTGTCAGAATAGTTCTACAGATCACTATTCCCTGTCAGAATAGTTCTACAGATCACTATTCCCTGTCAGAATAGTTCTACAGATCACTATTCCCTGTCAGAATAGTTCTACAGATCACTATTCCCTGTCAGAATAGTTCTACAGATCACCATTCCCTGTCAGAATAGTTCTACAGATCACCATTCCCTGTCAGAATAGTTCTACAGATCACCATTCCCTGTCAGAATAGTTCTACAGATCACCATTCCCTGTCAGAATAGTTCTACAGATCACCATTCCCTGTCAGAATAGTTCTACAGATCACCATTCCCTGTCAGAATAGTTCTACAGATCACCATTCCCTGTCAGAATAGTTCTACAGATCACCATTCCCTGTCAGAATAGTTCTACAGATCACTATTCCCTGTCAGAATAGTTCTACAGATCACTATTCCCTGTCAGAATAGTTCTACAGATCACTATTCCCTGTCAGAATAGTTCTACAGATCACTATTCCCTGTCAGAATAGTTCTACAGATCACTATTCCCTGTCAGAATAGTTCTACAGATCACCATTCCCTGTCAGAATAGTTCTACAGATCACTATTCCCTGTCAGAATAGTTCTACAGATCACTATTCCCTGTCGTAAAGAGAAGCGGGTAAAATCGGCTTGCTTACTTGGTCGATACCCAGACCATGAACCCTAAATATAAGTGTTCATGTCCAGGCGGCTTTGGTTGGTGCTCATAATGTCATTCACTGGTTTATCTGATCCGGGTATTCAATGGCTGTTCTGACATATGATAACAACATTTACTCTGCCAAGCAGTGACTAGCCTAGTTTACAGAACCAGGGCCTTTATATGTAATCAATGACACAACACTGTGAAAATCTCGTGTCGACCTACTGTAAACATGTAATTCCCTGGTGGAACGCAACATTGCTGTTTCAGACAAAGCTTGACAAATATAAAATCGAACCTGGAATTCAGTCAACAAAATACACAAACTGAGGAAAATAAAAATTTCCTTTTGTGTACAGGAAGCTAACAACTGTTTGGGGAATGGAACAAACGTTATTGCAATGCTTATTTACATCACAGATTCCCTGTAGTTGCCATGTCGAAAAGCACCCAAAGAACGACTATGGAAACTGGAACAAAGCTTGTTATTGATGTATTGATTTCTCCATATTTTCAAAGACAAAGTAGCTTACACACAGGCGTATTTGTCTGCCATCAGCAGCTTAGGGTACGCTTGTGAGGGCAAAGGAGGATCACGGGTAATTACGCATCAAGGTGGGAGGTGTGAACATTGTCAGAAAGAGGTGGAAGCACCAGAGACTGGGAGATGGTCACAGAAGGGACGCTCGATGTCGGGATGTGGAGCTGGGTGTGTGGACTGCTTTGATAGATCGCTATCGTATTTCGGGTGAGCGAGTCCTTTTTAGTCGTGAGGTGCGCAGATTTCTCGGGACCATTACATCGCCTTGGGTTTTCGTGTAAGTCTGTGAAAAAGTCCCTGGGACCATTACCCAGAGCGATCTTAGCACTTCGACAACCGTAAATCTGTGTTAAGGGTTGGACTTGCGATCGTCTCAGTGCTAAGATTGAATCGTAGAAAGGGATCAGGTTGCATGCAAAACTATTTACTGTCTGTGTTTAACTCATCTTAGCACTGCCGTAAATCTGCGTTAAGGGTTGGACTTGTGATCGTCTTGGTGCTAGGATCGCTTTGGGTATTTGGTGTAAGTTCCCTTGGACCATTACAGGGAGTCGTATCAGCGTTTCGACTGTCCTAAGTCGGAGTTGCGGTCGTCTTAGTGCTAAGATTGAATCGTAGAAAGGGATCCTACTGCATGTAAACTATTTTCTGTCTTTGTTTGAGTCAGAGATACAACCCCTGTGCCAGGTGAATCTGTTTCAATGTTACAGGATGAAGTATATATACTCTGACAAGGGTACATTTGATCTTCGTTACATTTTTAGCCAAATTGTGTGGATGGTGGGGATGATCACTGATTTTCAATGATCCATTCATTATTGTAAGCTTTTTAACCCTTTACACCAAATATAATCAGTTTCTGAGTATTCTTTTGACAATCGATTCAAACTGTACATCAGATGGTAGGATGCATACATTGACACCTCTTTATTGGTGTAAAATGTGACAAAGGTGTAAAACATGACAAAGGTGTAAAATGTGACAATGGTGTAAAACGTGACAAAGGTGTAAAATGTGACAAAGGTGTAAAACATGACAAAGGTGTAAAATGCGACAAAGGTGTAAAACGTGACAAAGGTGTAAAATGTGACAAAGGTGTAAAACATGACAAAGGTGTAAAATGTGACAATGGTGTAAAACGTGACAAAGGTGTAAAATGTGACAAAGGTGTAAAACATGACAAAGGTGTAAAATGCGACAAAGGTGTAAAATGTGACAAGGTTGTAAAACGTGACAGATGTAAAATGTGACAAGGGTGTAAAACGTGACAAAGGTGTAAAATGTGACAAAGGTGTAAAATGTGACAAAGGTGTAAAACATGACAAAGGTGTAAAATGCGACAAGGTTGTAAAACGTGACAGATGTAAAATGTGACAAGGGTGTAAAATGTGACAATGGTGTAAAACGTGACAAAGGTGTAAAATGTGACAAAGGTGTAAAACATGACAAAGGTGTAAAATGCGACAAAGGTGTAAAACGTGACAAAGGTGTAAAATGTGACAAAGGTGTAAAACATGACAAAGGTGTAAAATGTGACAAAGGTGTAAAATGTGACAAGGGTGTAAAACATGACAAAGGTGTAAAATGCGACAATGGTGTAAAATGTGACAAGGTTGTAAAACGTGACAGATGTAAAATGTGACAAGGGTGTAAAACGTGACAAAGGTGTAAAATGCGACAAGGTTGTAAAACGTGACAAGGTTGTAAAACGTGACAAAGGTGTAAAATGTGACAAAGGTGTAAAATGTGACAAGGTTGTAAAACGTGACAGATGTAAAATGTCACAAGGGTGTAAAACGTGACAAAGGTGTAAAATGTGACAAAGGTGTAAAATGCGACAAGGTTGTAAAACGTGACAAGGGTGTAAAACGTGACAAAGGTGTAAAATGTGACAAAGGTGTAAAATGTGACAAGGGTGTAGAACGCGAAACGAAACTTAAGTCCAGTCAAAAACGGTTGTGTCGAACGTTCCGTTGAGTCGAAGTAAAATATTTGTTCATGAAAGTATTCAGTATCGATATATGTCGGGGTTGACACGATTACCCAGAGCCTGATAATCTTTTCGACCACTATTCCCCAACTACACTAAACATGGCTTTTGTGCCCTTAAACTTAACCACCTGAATACCAACCGAAAGCGCAAAACTAACGCTCTTGGACAGAAGTAAACGTATGTGTGTTGCAATGGGATTTCCTCCTCCACCACAGTGACACGTATGACCACCCAACACCCAACCCAGTATTGGGGGCGGTGGGGAAGCCTAGTGGTTAAAGCGATCGCTCGTCACGCCGAAGACCCGGGTTTGATTCCCCACATGGGTACAATGTGTGAAGCCCATTTCTGGTATCTCCCGCCGTGATATTGCTGGAAAATTGCTAAAAGCGGCGTAAAAACTAAACTCACTCACTCAATCTGGTATTGGAGCAGTGGGGTAGTTTAGTGGGTAGAGCCTTCACTCGTCACGCCGAACGCCCGGGTTCGTGTCCTGACATGGGTACAGCGTGAAGCGCATTTCTGGTGTCCTCCGCTGTGATATTACCGAATATTGCTAAAAGCGGCGTAAATCCATACTCATTCACTTACTCACTGTTTGGAATAAAACAGCACTGTCTCCGTTCCCACACCCTCCACCTGGCGTCCTTGTTTTGAGATACATGTTTGTTTGGATTTGGATATTTTACATTAGCAACGAAATATCCATCGAATTTGTTTAGATGAAAATCGATTTTCTTTTAGCGCTCTCGTGTTGACTACCCGTTTAACGTTTAACAACAAATTGTGCATTAGGGTTTGTTGCCGAGGAACAGCACAAAGGATCGATGTATATCTGGTGTTTGTTAAGAGTTTTAACAGCAAGCTTTTGACAGTGGGCGTTTTCGGAAGATAAACATGCTGTTTTTTCGATGTAGAACCACGAGCTGATTGTTGCCTTAACAAATTGCAAAACGTCATGTAGGCGAATATAATTCAGTTTTCACAACAACGTTTTATCTGAATACACAGAACACTACGGTTATACCGAACTCAAAGGGAACACTAATTGTGGTTCGTAATAACAGAAGTTCAATACAAACATCTCGAATGAAATACATGTATTCCAGTTAATTATATCAGTCTGTTTACTGCACTTGCACGAGCGATTATTTGCAGACCCTTTCACCATCGGGAAAATTGTTCGAGCAAGGTAGACTTGCAAACAAGAGGGGAAGATATCGTATCAAGTTTAATATTAGCAAGCGTCCTTGATAATTAAAACCTTCGGGTGTATTGATTAACATTGTTACTTCAAAAGTAATCAGTTCCTTTCAACAACACTATTTTAAACTGCCTGGTGAATAAACGCACACATCCATGATTGATGGTAAGCCAAATATTGAACAAACGGGAGATGGGGTATCAGATTGCGTCTTGGAAGTTAGCAGTTTTCTGCAGCGAGTGCTTTACCCTTGTTACGTGTAGATAACGTTTGTAATTTGGGTGTCTAATCCAATTTTCTATGTATGTATTTTGCCTGTCCATTTCCGTAACCTCGAAACAATTTAGAGGCAAATGTGCATCAGTCCGCTATGACGTCAACGCGGGCATGTTGTACCGTCACAATTTTATTGCGATGATGGAATTCGCTTTACTGATATAGGTTTGTGTTTTTGGCGACGACACACAGAGACAGTCTACAACCTCTGAGGCGAAGACATGGGTGACAGCATCATCACCGTCAACGTGGGTGGCCGCAGGTTCGAGATAGGAAAGGATGTCCTATCCAGATTCCCTGAGTCTACTCTAGGACGTCTGACGTCATACACAAAGAAGGAAGTGTTCTTCCAGAGACCCACGCCTGTGTTCAAGTCCGTCCTTGGGTACCATCAGACCGGGCACCTGCATCTACCAGCTTCTGTTTGTCTCGGTGCTGTACAGGTAAGTGGCTTGTGTACGCCTGTGTTCAAACCTATCCTTGGGTACCATTAAACCGGGCACCTGTATCTTCCCGTTTCTATATGTCTCGGGACTGTGTAGGTTAGTGGGTTGTGTACGTCTGAGGTAAGTCCGTCTTTGGTACCATCGTATCATCTACCTGCATCTGGGCGGTGGGGTAGCCTAGTGGTTAAAGCGTTCGCTTGTCACGCCGAAGACCCGGGTTCGATTCCCCACATGGGCACAATGTGTGAAGCCCATTTCTGGTGTCCACCGCCATGAAATAGCTGGAATATGGTTAAAAGCGGCGTAAAACTGAACTCACTCACTCTACCTGCATCTACCAGCTTCCGTATGTCTCGGGACTGTACAGGTAAGAGAGGTTCCGTACGTCTGAGTTCATGTCTATCGCCGGGTACCATCATACATTGACCTTCATCAACAGCTTGTATGTGTCTCCGGGCTCTACAGGTAAACGAAGGAGTATGAACGTTCAATCCCACCGTTTCATTCGACTCCTGGATCTACAGTCTACTTGTACCATACAGGACGATTAAACAAAATGACAGGGAGATTGATCTTATTGTATATGCAAACATTGCATCAGCTTCTGAAATGTCACCAAGGCAAGTCGTTGTATCGACAGGAGGAGCTGGAGTTCTGGGGCTTCACTGTTGACGACGTCGAGCCGTGTTGTCGACGTGCGCTCACAGGCTTCCACAGACAGCAACATGACGTGTACGAGTTTGAGAAAGAGACAGCACCGGTGTCAACGGAGTCAAAGAAACAGTCTACGTCAGCCTTCTCGAGGGGAAGACGTCGTCTGTGGAGGGTAATGGATCAGCCGTTTTCATCAACAATTGCAAAGGTTGGTCGCTGTTTTCCTTTAAAAGGAGTGAGTTAATATATGTTGACGCCGCACTCAGAGATATTTCAGCTGTATGGTGGCGGTCTGTAAATAATCGAGTCTGAACCAGACAATACAGTGATCAACACCATGAGCATCGATCGACGCAATTTGGATACGATGACATGTGTCAACCAAGTCAGCGAGCCTGACCATCCGATCCCGTTCGTCGCCTCTTACGACAAGCATGGGTTACTGAAGATCAATTCTGACCCGGATCTTCACGGGTCCTTCAAAAGGAGGTACTTAAAGAATAAGAACAGCTACTGATTCAACATTTTTTACTTCAGCTTTCATTCTCCTAATGAAATGAATGAATGATGAAGGGTTTGAATGGGATGAATGAATGATTGATTGAAATACATTAATGAATGACATGAATCGTAGAATGTGGTGCAATGAATGAAGTATTGAGATGAAATGTTTCTTTACGAATACAAGTAATGTCACTGAATGAAAACGATGGATGGACATGAATGAATAGAATGAAAAGAGTGAAGATGCAAAGCAGATACCATTGCTTGTCGTAACAGGCGACCCGTGAAGATCAGGGTTAGAATTGGTCTTCAGCAACCCATGCTTGTCGTAAGAGGTGACTAACAGAATCAAGGTGTCAGGTTGACACATGTCATCGTATCCCAATTTCGTAGATCGATGCCCATGTCTGGCCCAGACTCTATTATTTACAGACCGCTGGAATATTGCTGGGTGTGGCCGTAAACAACAAACCAAACCAACAGTAACGGGCGACTTAACCAATCGTGTGATCAGGCTTGATGTACGGCATCGTAGCCCCCAACTGGTAATCGATCGATGCTCACAGTGACTTAAGTTTCTACTTCAGAGTCAATTATTTTAAATCACCATTATAAAGGTGCATTATTGCTGGGGTGTGTCGGTAGGCCAAAAATAACCAAAACATTCCAACAGTAGCCTTATTATTAAAGTAATCCTTCCACTGCATGCAGACAGACAGACAGACAGACAGGTTTATTTCATAAATGTGGCCATGAGGCCAATAGGACAAAATGACAACTTAGATTATTTTTTTACAGAGCGCATGGACATGATTTTGTTTACAAAAATTGCTAGACGGAGTATTATGTTATGGTTCTTAGTATTTAGAAGATGTACAAATTTTTGTTTATTTGGGTTCAAAATATAGATACTTGGTATGTAGTGAGTTCTTACCGCTGCATATAAAGGACATTTCATTAACACATGATACTCATCCTCTGGTACATTTTTACAATTATCGCACATAGCTACACTAATGTCATTGTCTTTAGATCTTCTATAGGAAACTATTTTTAAATTGGTGGAGCCGCATCTGAATTTTGTTAAGACTGCGCAGATGTAACGAAGAGAGTGCGATCAAATACAATTCCGGAACAATATCAGATTTAAAGGCAGAATACATATGCAGTGATTTTGAGTTTCTTATATCTTGTGTCCATTCTTGATAGTACATGTCTATACAACGTTGTTTGAAAAGATTCAAAAACAATTCCCAGTTTCCAACATTTTGATATATCCATACATAAGCAAAGCCATGTTGAAATAATATTGATCGTACTGCCGAAGCCCAGTTAACATCTCCATTGTCGTCAAAACGTTTCAACATATCATACGAACGACGTGGGTAACGTGTGTCTGGTTGTCGAAGCAGACGTATCCAGAACGAAACAACTCGTGTCATATAATTTACATGTAAAGGGTATCTCCCACATTCGGCTAAAACTGCCATGTATTGTATATGTAGGTGTGAGGGCTATGTGACCTTAATTCTAAATAAACTTGTCACTTGTCACAATACCAACATTATTTTACGATTATTCCAAATCGATATGCTTGCTGAGGAATACACGAACATGCGTCTGAAAACAGTGTTTATTTTCTAACTACTAACTGTTCTTTCATCTTATTGGTTGAATTGCCACTTGGACTTGTTATAACATTACTCGGCTAAAAATAGATTGGTAAACCCATAACACAAACTCCTCATCCCACGTGTCTCTTGCAACTGTACAAGGCAGGCATCGCTGCGTTCCAGTGACGATACTGATTCAGAGTTGCTTCCCTTTGCACAAAATGTAATCTTTAATCAATCTGAAAATCATGGCCATCTCAGTTTTGTGTTATATAATAAAATATTTATTGACTTCAGTTTCGGTTCTTCAAATGATTTATCGACTTGGACAAGTGATATTCACCTCGTTATAGCTCTCATTGTTTTTCTCCCACCATGACATCGTCTCGTTCAATGGATAAAGTCCAAATGCACTAGTATGACCCTACATATAAATTTATGATAATGACAAGACTTGTTTTTTATTGGCAACAGATATACTTCGTGATCTCCTGCTTTGTGATCGTCGCGGCCACTCTACTTACTGTCCTGGGAACAGAACCTTACTTCAAAGGAACTCTGCAGAACGAGCACTGGAAGGAGTACTTTGGACAAGAGTATTTCGACAAGCATTACGACAAGATCAGGCTTGCGGACAAAGGGTCTGACCCTGTGGTGATGAAAGAAATCACTGAGAGACACAACAAGACAGCTGGAGAAATCCTTGGTAATTTCAGTCTCCCCACAAACGTCCATGTAAAGAACGAGAACATGGAACTAGTGAGTTACATCTGCACCGGCTTCTTCACACTGGAGCTTCTGTTGAGGCTCTGCTGCTGCCCAAGTTTATTCCGTTTCTTCAGGTCTTTACTGAACATCATCGACGTGTTGGCAGTTGTATCAGCTCTTGTTAAGATCATCGTTGAGCAGCTGTCAGCCGTTGAGAAATTCGAGCATTCTTACCTGGACATTCTTGAAGGCATGTTGGTCCTTCGGGTTTTGAGGCTGTTCCATTTGACGAAGCACATCACGGGTGCTCGGGTTCTGGTGTACGCTTTCAAATCTTCATTTAGGGAGGTTGGTTTTATGGCTCTTTTAGTTCTCATTACCTCCATCGTGTTTGGAACAGTGGAGTACTATGTCGATTCTGATCGTATGCAGAGTATACCGGAAGCGTGCTGGTGGGCAGTGATCACCATGACGACGGTTGGTTACGGGGACGTAACTCCGTCTAATGCTGTTTCTAAGAGCGTTGGAGTGATATGTGCCTGCATGGGCATCTTGGTACTGGCAATAACTATGCCATTGTTTGTCAACAACTTTATAACATTTTATTCCATCGCCAAAGAAACATCGGACAAAGCAAAGGCCAAGACCAGTAGCAGCGAACCACGTACCGCGCTTTCAACAGTTCATCCTGTTGTATTACATCGAAACCAGAAGGAGAACAATCATGAAGATGTCCCAAACAAGAACTGAACTATAACGGATTGTTTGTCGTTCAACATCGCTCTCAGCATATTCCAGGACAAGGATGGTGATCTGTTAATATGTCAGACAGTGATTTGTATAATGTACAGTGTGCCACGCTGACAAGCCATCAACCAATTCACGAAGTCAGAAAACATATCAAATCTATAATCCACTGATTGACATCATGAACGTCGGTCAACGTATTGGGACATGGTGGTAATCTTTATGGCGGTGGTCTGTTTTTAATCGAGTCATCACCAGGCAAACAAGTGGTTTATTTTAAGAACAACGAGCCAAGCCTTCGGGGCACGTTGACATGTCATCAGCTAATTCACGGAGTCAGAAAACATATCAAATCTATAATCTGGTGATTGACATAATGAGCATCGGTCAATGCATTGGTGATAGATGGCATACAATCGTGCAATCAACCAAGCCATTGAGTCTGATCACCAGAACCATATAGTCGCCAGTTTGGACGAGCACAGACTGGTGAGGACCTGAATTCTTACCCAGAAGCTCCACGAACATCATGAACCATTACGCTCTCCTCTATAACCAGCACTGGCAACACCTTACCCGAAATCCCCACATGTACACCGTCCTTTATACAAGAACTAAGCAGTACTAAATACAAATATTGGGACAATCATGTACGCACGTGTTGATGCTGGATAAAATGACTTAAACAAGAAATAGTTATTCCATGATGCTTTATTTGCTCGGATACTATATCCCATTTCAGTCAAATACGATTTTTGTTAGTTTTTAAAAAAGATTATTCTAGCTGCGTATACATACTTGTTACAGTATTCTGTTTAGTAATACTGGATAATTACAGTATTGAACTCACTTTATAACATATTGCTGCGAACACTGTGGGTTGTCCTTATAATAATAATCTTTATTTGCACTGAGAAGGCCACAGGCCTATAGTACATAAAGTTATGTTACATTTGAGAGGAATTTAGATCGGGTAATCATAGCATAGTAAATACACATTGAAATATTTTGTAGAAGAACTGGATTTTTACTACTTAACAGTGAGGAGAATTTTATCACATTTGGATAGACATAGTAATATCTTTTAATATATTTTGTTCGCAACCGGTCATAAAATGAACATATTAGGAGAAAATGTAATTCATCATCTATTTCGTTAAAATTACAAAGTGTACATATTCGATTTTCTCTTTTTACATTCATATATCTGCCTCTTTCAATCAACAAGTCATGAGAAGAGCATCTGAATCGTGCCAGTGCTATTCTAAACTTTTTAACATTAACACAGGATAGATATGACTCAAGGACTATGGCATTTCTAAACAATGAATAATACATGCATTTTTTTGATAAGGATATCATTTCACACCATGTTTGAATATACATATCTTTTAGTCTTGTCGTTAAGGATTGTATGAATAGCGTAGGTGATTCGACATATTGTGTAGTCCATGTCATTCCAAAACCAATAGAATATAAAAGGTTTTTTACATTGGTTGCCCAGGTTTTTTTTCCACCTTTATCATATAACAACATCATATTATGACACTTCTTGGGTAAGCGATTTGAAGGTATAATCAACAGTTTTAGCCAGTACTTAATAACTTTAATGCTTGTAAGAATTTTTTTGAATCAGATATACCGTTTTCTATTACTATCTGTTTCTCTTTATAATAATTAAAGCGTTTTTCCTTACAAATTGAGTTATATTTATTTCTTTTAGCGCAATATTGATCGTATGATTCTTTATCTTTCGATTTCCTAAACTTATTCAGAGATCTACATCGGTCTGATTTTAATCTTTCACATTCAGAGTCAAACCATTTATTAGTTGTTGTTGTGGGAGGGCTAACTGTTTTCTTCATGCAAGAGGCGGCCAGACAGAGTGCCTCGGTCATATAGCTTATACTATCATCAATATTAAGGAAAGCACAGTCAATCGATTTATCTAGTAATTCTTGTACGTTATCTGACAAAATATTTTCTCTAAACTGTTCTAATTTATCGTTATCCCAAATGAACTTTAACGACTTATTCCTACATTTGGTAGAAGTGTTGGATTGCTCAAGTTGTACTGTCTTTAGTTTTAATGTAATGGGAAGATGATCAGATTCAGTTCTCGTTTGTATGCTAAAAACTAGAATATAGTCAAATATTGTTGATGAAGAAATTATATAGTCAATAACACTGGTGCCAGTTGAACCTAGAAAAGTAAAGTCTCCAACATCTGTGTCACTTCTACATCGACCATTTAGCATATGAATGTTAAAAACAGAGCACATATCAAGAAATGTTTTACCAAAGTTGTTAACGACCTTGCCGGCGGAGAAACGCTTCAAGTTAAAATAATCTATAAGAAAATCCCAGTAGGAATGATTTCTATTTTCTGTATATTCAAATAAGTCAGCTTCAACAAAATCTGCTTTGGTTCCGGTTCGAGCATTAAAATCTCCGCCACACAAGATATACCAATCTGGTAGACATGAGATAATTTCTAATATAGAGTCCTGGAATATACTAATACCATTTTTACAGTTAGGGGAAAATGTATCATTCCATGACGATGACTCCGGTTGTACACAGACACGGGAATATAGAATATCTTTATCAAAACCAAACAGTGAACGACCGAAAAGAACGAAAACAGCATTTTCTGTTACTTTAAACCACTTCAAGTATTTCAGTGATTCTTTATTAAAACCAAAATACCACCGGAAGATCGACAACCGCTTGATATATTTTGTGCATGTTTCATAACATTCTTAGAATCAGAACAAATATAATTTAAATCTACATTCTTTGACCATGTCTCAGTTAATCCAATTATGTCAAATGACTTAATATATTCAATAAAATCAGAATCTGTTAGTTTCTGCGTAATACCAGAAATATTCCAAAATAATATATTCATTGGGTTATAAGAGTCTTTAGTAGTATTGTTAACATCATCATCATCATCATTATTTGCGTCACTTCGATGCGCCATAAAATGCCTATATACATGTTGGCCCTGGCCACACCCCTACTTGTCACTGTCCTTATTGTGAGTGAGTGAGTGAGTGAGTTTGGTTTTACGCCGCTTTTAGCAATATTCCAGCAATATCACGGCGGGGGACACCAGAAATGAGCTTCACACAATGTACCCATGTGGGGATTCGAACCCGGGTCTTTGGCGTGACGAGCCAACGCTTTAACCATTAGGCTACCCCACCGCCCTTATTGTGAACGTATGTTGTAGATACCATGACTTACACTTTGATTTCACGGCTATTGCTATAACAAATGTGCACTTTTGGGTTTTTATTATTGGTGCGAATTACACTGTAAATAAAGCAACAAACCTATCTTAAGAAGAAATCTCTTCTGGTTTGGATGGATGGAGGGATGGAAACATTTTTACATCCTTTAGAAATTTCTGAACAAAACGGTGTGTGGTACAGTACCGGATATGTCATAAGCATGTGTTTACGAATCATCAAATGGCAATGATACCCTGTGATTCCATAAAGTAATATGACAACAGCTATGCAGTTATATGTTTTGCTAATAACTAAAACATATATTTTACTCAACAATTGCTATAAGGTACAATTACGTCACCACAGGTGTACCCACTATTTACATCATAATTGGTATAAGATTGTTATAACATTTGGTATAAGATTATTATAACATTTGGTATAAAATTGTTATAACATTTGCACAACAGTAATGAAGTACAATGAACAATACTACAAATATAAGATTGTTATAACATTTGGTATAAGATTGTTATAACATTTGGTATAAGATTATTATAACATTTGGTATAAAATTGTTATAACATTTGCACAACAGTAATGAAGTACAATGAACAATACTACAAATATAAGATTGTTATAACATTTGGTATAAGATTATTATAACATTTGGTATAAGATTGTTATAACATTTGCACAACAGTAATGGAGTACAATGAACAATACTACAAATATAAGATTGTTATAACATTTGGTATTAATATCCATTTGCACAACAATTGAAGTACAATGAACAGACTACGACATACAATATCCATAACGATTGCACAGACTACGACATACAAAATTGCACACACAGCACATATTAATAGACAGTGTACAAGGGATATGTTCATCTTGCCATTTATACCATTTGGTTCTGTTTGATTCTGTTAAATACTTTTTGTTTGTTTGTTTGAATAGCGCCACACTCCGCTTTTCCAGCTTTATGGCGGTGGTCTGTAAGTAATCGAGTCTGGACCAGACAATCCAGTGATCAACAGCATGAACATCGATCTACGCAATTAAGACACGATACATGTGTCAACCAAGTCAGCAAGCCTGACCACCCGATCCCGTTAGTCGCCTCTGGGTTGCCGAAGACCAATGTTGAACAGGATCTTCATAGGTCGGTTTTTATAAGGAACAATATGCCAGTCCATCGGGACACGTTAACATGCCATCAAACAATTCACGGAGTCAGAAATCCGGTGATTGATATCATGAGCATCAGTCAACGTCTTGGGGCATGATGACATGCAATCACTGAGTCAGACCACCAGAACCATCAAGTCAATACATTGATTACACAACAGTCTCGTTTTCTGCTGACTGGGTTTCGTCTTATTACGCAACTTCGTACAATAACCAGTCCAGAATTTTGAGACCAATTCATTCAACTGGATACATAAATATTAATCAACCATTATTTGATACACCTGAGCACTAGTATATTGCTACACTAGGCGCCTTCTAATCCTTGCAAACACGTCGTGCAGCGTGCTCTGTCGTACAGCGTGCACTGATAAACGGAAATCGTGGAAATCTCAAAACGAGGCTCTGCCGCTAGAAAAGTTTGGCGGTCTGGTACGGACTTGATATTATATCAATCACATTGTGCATTACAAAACCGCATTGAATAAGCGCAAAAAACACATAACAGGTGTAACAAGTGAGCCAGATGAATTGTGAATCATTTTACGACCTCATCAAACAGGGTCAGTCTGTGACGTCTTAGTTAAGGTCATGCTGCCTAAACCTCGACATAAAATATAGAAATACGATGTTATTAAAGTTTAACATTAAAAATTACTTGTAAATACCATTTTCTTATGAAACAAGGAATTGGAATTCAGTGTAACCATAGTT